ACTCCCAGAATTCCCCAGCCAGCCATGCTGGCTAGGGAATTCTGGGAGTTGGAGTCCACCCATCTTAAAGTTGCCAAGCTTGAGACATACCAACTTCGAATATGGATCGATTGGTCATACAACCTAGGGAGCCCATCAACTGGGTTAAGTGAACAACGCTAGTTAATCCTAGCTAACCATATTGCATTTAAACCTTTCAGACCAAAGGGCCCACTTTTGGCTCAAGCGTGCATTTGAGGACCCGCCTCTTCATTGTACCATATGAATGTCAGCATTCATGTCAGCTGCTTTTGTGACCCACTTTTTTTATCAGCCTGCACATCAGCTTGAATTCCGGCAACCCAATTCAGCTACTTGCACAGCATCCTGAAGGCAACATTTTTATATACCTAATACACGTGTTCTCTTGCATCAATAGAATATATGGAGCCTACTCAAAGGACAGCAAGTTTCGCTTCAAGAAAAACACAACAGTCTTGGAAAGTAGGCCAGCAGCCTCTTTGGCCTCACAATCTGGCACGTTTGTACCTCTTTTGCACCTGATACCTCCCAGAGAAGCAGATCATATCTGGTTCGTGCTTTTGCTAGCTCTACCTGAGATACACCATGAAAGGAGAAAGCTGAGTTATGCCCCAAACCAGCAGGGAACTGTAGGCATTTCAGCTCCCAAAGGCCAGATACAACCCCAGGCTGGAGGCTCCCTGTTCCTAAACGGATCACAAGGCCCTGGTTTCAGAGTTCAGGCAAAGGACCTACTGATCCACTTGCGAGCACAAACGTACCACGGATCGGCTGGAAAAGTGGAGTGGAAGAGAAGTAAGGCCACACACCGGTACCCTCTGCGGATCCGCTTGGCCGCCAGTCCCTCTGAACCTGGGGCAATTTCCTGGGCCCCTCTAGAAACAGGCGCTTGGAAGGAAAGGAGAGAAGCTGGCTCAGACGGAACTTTTCCAACGCGAGCCCCGACCCTGCGCCCGCTTCCCTGGGGGCAAACGCGAGGGCGTCCCGGACCTGTTGGGGTTTCTTCGCGGGTTGGAAAGCCCCGACCGGAGCCGCCGCCTTCACCCCGCCCTGGAACCGCCGGCTCCGCTCACACCCACCGTTCCGAAGCCCCGGGAGGGAAGGGAAGGCGCTCATCCTCCTCTCCCCGGGCCCTTCGCGGCTTCCGACCCGTTGCGCCACCTTCAC